TATATATATATATATACACACCTAGAGAGCATGCACAAATGTGGCAAAATACTAAAAATTATTGAATCTTGGTAAAGAGCATATAGGTATCTATTAAACTATTCTTTCAATTTTCTGTATTATTGAAATTTTTCAAAATAGGAAGTTGGAAAAAGCAAAAATGCATGTAAATTAACTTTAAAAATGCACCACTACTCCACTCACTATTTTTGAAATATGTTATTTGTGTCATGTCTTGATAAATTAAATTGTAATAGAAAATAGCAGCCACTACCCAGATGAAGAAAGTGGAACTTTCTGTCACGTCCTCGCTACATAACCCACTGGCTGGTGACCTTGGGCAACTTGCTTTTGACCCTTAAGGCTTGGTTTCCTCATTTGCATGGTGGGAATAATATCCTGCCCACTCACAAGACGTTGTGAGATAATCCATATTATAAACAATTGTAAGGCATGCAGTCAACCTAAAGGACTCTATAGCTTTTTCTTCTCCTGCAGAGTGAAAGTAACTTTATAAAAGAAGAGACTTGCACCCTAGACATTCATGAAGAACTTACCTTTCAGACCACAGAGTCTACACATGGCCGCAAACACTGTAGATTCCATCTCGATATTCCTGACAGCAGCTATATGTGCTCTCTTCAAGTAATCTACCTTTTTCTCTCTGGAAAAGCTGCACAGGGCTCCATCTAGTCGACCCTGGCCTGAAAGAGACAGAGAGCAGTGAGCAACCTGATGAGGACAGTGGCAGCGGCACCACCAAGAGGCTTGCTGTCAGCTGAGTGCTCCGCAGCCGACTCTGACCCTTGGGCCTGCGCCCCAGGTAGGATAAACCCGCTGACCGAGTCTTCCTATCACTGGACCGGGAGCAAGGCTGTGCCCAACTCCAGTGTCTCCTGTGTAGAGAGTAGTCTCCACGGTGCTGAGTGCCCTGGCTCTGGGGCAGGTGGCCACGGCAACCAGCACTGTGCCCAGGGATAATGGAATTAGAAAATCATCATTTTGTAACCCAGGCTAAAATCATTGGGTAAAAGAGAGTTGGGTTACAAGATATTCACGCAGTGCCAAATTGTCACTCCAGAGATTACTTGCTACTTTCAAAGAGGAAACGTTGACCCTGAGGGTCACTGAGAGATCTGCCCTTTGAGGAAAATCTCTGGTTGGCTCCGGGGACTGGGGGATGGCCCGGGGCCAGGAGCTGGGGGAGAAGAGACCTCAAACCTTAGTGATGCGCTGAGCTCCTTGAGGAGCAGGACCATGGTTTGGACACTGCAACTCTGCATCTACCCATGGTGACAATGGTACCAATGTGTCCACCTTCTTCTCTCCACACAGCTCTAAGCTGCTGCACCCTTTGGTGATCACCTTTTCCCTTCTGTGATGCTCTGGGTGTTCATTTATCACTTAATCTCTCTTGTATCAATTAGTGGGGCTGGAAGGAGGTGGAAAAAATCTAATGCTCTCACTCCTCCTCCACCCTGCAGGCTCTGGGAACAGACTTCTCCCCACCACACGCCCAAGGGCTCCAACGGGCTGTCATTTGTAAGCTCTGCCTTATACCCACCCTTGACCTTCACAACGAAGCGGCCAAATCTATGACAGAGAGTTTCCACCCTATCACACCCAGCATGCCTCCTGTTTTATAATAATAGGTTATAAAATAAAATGTTACTAACCTGAAGTAACATTTACAGATACTATAGCCTATATCCATATGTAATTTTAAAATTGTAATATAATAGCCTAAGTTTGATCCAAAGAAAAATAATTTAAAATGAAATAATGTGTACTTTGGTGAACATACTAAAACACAACCACACTACAATTTTTCTAGAATGCCCTCCAAGGAATGGTACCACCCCCGGTTAGATTCTTTCTTTCTTGGAATGAGCAGGGTCTGCCCTTGACACTTTATTCTCCTGGCTTCTCATCCCTTGTTACAAAAGCTACTTAGCAGTCACCTTCAATTTGCTCCTCAACTTGATTTGGGAACACTTTAATTGTCGCTGAGAGAAAAAAGGATAACTTCAATACTACCCATCCCTTTGGAATTTCTCCCCTAACTGTTTTCTGGGTCCCACTCTTTCCTGAGTACCAGGTCACTTTGCGCTGTAGGTGATCGTACCCCAAAATGGCAGAAACACAGAATCAGCACACTCCCCTCCTCCCAGAGTCATCAATTGAAATGAAAGGCTTTAACAGAGAGAAGATTTTGCTAACATCATTAATTGCATTTTAGTTTCAATTTGTTCTTGGAGGATTTAACCCACTCTCACTCAATACATAGTCACTATGGGTGTTTCTCTGCTGCTCATTCTATTCCTACGTTCCTCTGCTATAGGAAGTTAAAAAGGCTGTTTCAGTCCCTTTTTAAATCCCCAACTTTTAAATTTCTAAAGTGAAGGTTTTCATATAAATGGTGGGTTTGAATAACAAAGAGTTGCTTTCACAATTTATAAATTCTTCTCACCTTCATAAAAATCATAGGTACACATCCTATGTCCAATGAGGGTTGGGAAGTTAGGAATTTCTCTGCTGCAGTTGAATAGTTCCTCCGCCAGTTCCTTGTCAAGTTCAGTACTTCGGGTGACAACGTTGTCCAAGACAACCTGTTCAAATCTGGGCTTGAAGAAGGAGTCCACAGCTGTGTCTGTTATTACAACAGACCCCTGTGTGACCCCTGGGATGCGGGAATAAATGAGTGGTTACTTTGACACAGAGTATGTAATCAATTCTGCCAACATTAATTAATGCTCGTTGCTAATGGTTCTCCCTCTTTCCATCCTTTAAATTATTTTTTTCCAAATGCAATTAAATAATAACATTCAGAACAGGCATTTGCATGTGCTGTCTTCCCGGATTCACATTTACAATGTGATGGGGTTTAGATTTCAAGACAAACATGACTCTTGGACATGCAAATTAGTATTGGCCTTCAGGCTCAAATTTGAATAAATTAGGTCAGGAATAAACTAAATGAGCCTGCCAGCAAGTAGCTTGCCTAAAATGATGTGACTACTTGATATTTAATCTTCTCTGCATCTCCTTGATTACTGTAATTTCTTTGCATCTATATCCCCCCTTCCTTCTGATTCTCCTCACATCCCCCCCTCCCCTCTCTGACCCCATGTAAATTAGGCCTCCTGGCTGACCTTCCAGGGCTACGAAGTCTGGCTTGCTCATGGGCCTTAGTAACTAAGTCACAGGGACTTGAGAAACCATTTTCTGGACTGTTCTTCTCCCTGCTGGAATGCTCTTTTGTCCTCCCCACACCTTTTCATCAGACTAACACCAACTCATTTTTCAGGTGTGGGCTTAAGTCACTTCCTTCCAAAGGTCTGAATTCAGGAGGGGGGACAGGGGAGATAAAAAGGCAACATAGGTGGGTGACAGTAAATTTCCTCAGGGCCAGCTTTTGACCCAGTCTTTGACCCATTCTGTTTTCTGTTTAGTTCCAAAATAAGGGACTATACATGGCAGTGCCCTAGACTCCTATTCTAACATTCAGCTCACTTTTTGTAATTACTCATTTGTTTGCCTATGGCCCTGATTAAACATAAGCTCTATAAAGTCAAGAGCATTGTTCACTGTTGTCTCCCCAGTTCTAGCGTTATGCCTATCGCATTATAGATACTCAATAAAAATGTATCGAATGAGCAAATGCTTCCATAGAGATGCCATAGGGCAGACATCTGCAAACTACAATCCATGGGCCAAATTCAGACCGTCTTTGTAAGTAAAGTTTTCTTGGATCACGGCCACATTCGTTCATTACGTGTTGTCTATGGTTGCTTTCATACTACAAAGCCTTAAGTACTTACTATCTGGCCTTCTATCGAGCACAGCCATATCATTCTGGGTTTTTATAACTTTCAGTATTGATCAATATGGGGTTAATTTAGGAGATCCACCTAGGGACCCAAGGTGGGCTCTGATGAATGAGCCTTGGTGGGTCAGACACTTTTTAAATAAGTCAAACAAGTGGCTCCTTGAATTATTTGAAATATCCTAGGAATAGGAAAATGATTGAGAAGGAAGCTGAAAATGTGGGCATCAAAATGATGTCTTGCTAATATTTAGATGTGTTAGGAGATGTGTATCCTAGTTAAAGTCTTTCAGAGGCCAAAAGAAAGGCATCTTGAAGGATAGCTCATCTGGCACAGATGATGCTCACATTCCCCTCTGTCGGGATGGACATCTATAGAAGTCCTTTCACTTTAGTCCCACCTTTGAGCGCCTCGGGTGGACTTTATTTTTGGACCACAGTTGTGGGAAGAGCCCAGTCTTTCTAAATATGTCTGTTTCTGGGGAAGCATGGCCCAGCCACCTGAAGCTCCGTGATACTGGACAAGTCATTCTCTAGTGTTTTGTTTGAGGATTTCTAAAGGTCCCTTCTTGCTCCAAATATGTGTAGTTCTCAGACAAAAATCTCGGCCCTTTTTAGAATTTTCCTTCAGTCTTGTCACTCTGTCAGCCAAACGTTCCAGTTACAATGCTTTGTCTGTATTTGCACATGGCGACATAGTAAAATGGCTCCTCGCATGATCTGCTCCTGAAGAAAAGCTTGAAAAAATAACTTGACCTCAGCTCAAGGTGGAAGCATGAAGAAGGCCCTGCCCAGAGGCCTGACCAGCCAGGAGGCAGGGAGAGGGGAAGCTCTGGGAAGACTTGAGGAAGCTCTAGCTGGCCCTTCCCTAAAGGCCCAGCGTGGCCTGTTCTGCTGTGTTGATAAGGAAAAGAAACAGCCAAGAAAAAGGATGCAGTCACCAGCATGAGCTAAAAACAATGTTTTCCTATGATGTGTGCTTACTTAGCTGACAAATAAGACAATTAATAGTGATTATTTCTTTTTACTTGAAAGCACTTGTTTCTGTCACTTATGAAATCTCTACACCTCAAAATTTACTGTAACCCTCAAAACTTTCTCTTATCCTGAAAACATACTCCTTAGCAATTCTTCCACTCTTCCCCATAAGAACACCTAAGTCCACTCCAGTTTTCCATGGAGAGAAAAAAAAGGGAGATAAAAAGAAAATATTTCTTTAATTTTGTTAAATGTCCTCAAGCTGAGCTTCCTGACACTCCTTAGCCCATCTGGATTTCTGCTGGGTTTGGGGAATGTTGGTGTCTTTTGGCAGCTGCTTTACAGGGAACAATCCCTGGGATTTAACAGTAGAAATCAAACATCTCACCTATTCCCCCTGATGTACCCACTCTGATCATGATGACATCACAGGACTGGGCATGGTGCAGTAATTTGATGAGTTCATGCAGCATGATCAAAATGGAGGGGATCCCCATGCCATGCTGTTGAGAGAAAGGGAACGTCACTCTACATCTCACAAACTGATATATGCACAGGACGTATTTTCTTTCTTCATTACAAGTTAACAGCCCTCAGAGAAATTTACATAATCATTATGACTTTGCCAAAGCTGGGGAAACCGTAAGTCAGCTCTAACTGACGCCTACATGACACGCTGATAGATGTGCCCATCTGTGAGGACCAGCGAGCGGCAGCTCCCTGCCAGGTAAGCTGAGTGCAGCCTGGTCGTCGGGAGCAAAAGGAAGGTGGCCCACGATGGCACGGTGTACTGGTGTGTCAGGGCAGTGCCCCTGCTCATCTCCCTCTGGGCTCTTTACGCTGAGCCTGCGAAATAGAGTTTTTTCCCGAGACTGATTTGATATCGAGGAAATACAAACTTGGCTGCCAGGGGATCAGTCCCTTTCCACCCCACTAAATGAAATGGTGAATCTGAGGCATTGCTCTCAGGTGGCCTTGCTCATTTGCTGCAAATTCTGTGTGAGCTCTGGAACATAGAGTAGACACGTGGGTTCCATCCAGATCCAGCTATGTAGAGTGGATAGTGAATGTGCAGGTGAGGGTAAATTGTGACAGGTTACAACCATAATCCCGGTTTTCCTCAGCATTTGGAACCGGACAGTCAATGTCACCAGAAGAGGGGCCAACAAGAGGATTTGGCAACTCCTGGTGATCAATATGTTCTAGTAACTCTCCAGAACGATCCTTCATGTGGAATTTGCAGTGGCTGGAGCTGAGTTCGGAATCAGAGGCCATTTTATGCCTAGCCTAGCATCAGAGGGTCACGTGTGTTCTAGTTCTGCCCTTGGGCACAGAGACTTGGGTGCCGAAAGCAGCAGGGTCATCTTGGCAGCAGGTGATGTCTGCCACTGATGGTCTCGTTAGCAAATCAGGAAAACCACTGCAGCCACGACCGTGGTTCCCTCCCATGAGTTCCCTCCTTCTTGTCATCAAGAATATTAAACGATGACAAATTTGAGCCTCTGAGGTTCCCACATTTGGTTTCCATGGAATATGCCCTGACTTCCAAAAGCATTGTAAGTCTCCTGGAGACACGAGTCAAACCTGAATTATTTTCTATGTCCAAGATGAACACGTGTGGGCTTTGGCCCTGACTCTGCCACTAAAGAGCAAACTCTCTAAATCTCATTTGCTCAGCTGCACATTAAGCAACGAACCATTATTTGATCTATTAGGTTCCTTCTACTTCAGATATGTGATAGGTTTATAATGATCACTTATTATGTGATATGGTAGCAAAATGACAAATGGGCTTGTGTCTTTCTGCTAAAGTCTCTCTCTCTCTCTGACACACACACACACACACACACACACACACACACACACACTCCCCTCAGCTGCTGGAGAGAAAGACTTTTCAAAGAAGGGGCCTAAATTGGAAATCCTCTGTATGCCCAGGGAGGCCCATTTTGAATTGCCTGACCTCTGGGCATGATCCATATTACTGCTGTTTTTATATCTTACTCTTAAGTTTTACTGCTTATTTACAATAATTTCACAGTTTTAGAAACCTTATTTTTTGTCCTCACCCATTCATTGTGCAAGAAACAAAATGACAGTTGTAGTCTAAATGTCAAACAAAAGTTAGTAAGACAACATTTGCCTAGATCAAACAACATTGAGTTTCCTTCCATTATAGATATTCTATAGTTGTCGAATGAACAAATGAATTGATTCTCTCATTTGAACCCAAAGCAACTTTCAGGCATTCTTGACCCAGATGGAAGATGAACTTAGAGCAGTGGTTCTCAACTTGTGGGTCTCGACCCCTTTGGGGGTCGAACGACCCTTCCACAGGGGTCGCCTAAGACCATCGGAAAACACATATATAATTACATATTGTTTTTGTGATTAATCACTATGCTTTAATTATGTTCAACTTGTAACAATGAAAATACATCCTGCATATCAGATATTTACATTACAATTCATAACAGTAGCAAAATTACAGTTATGAAGTAGCAACGAAAATAATTTTATGGTTGGGAGTCACCACAACATGAGGAACTGTATTAAAGGGTCGCGGCATTAGGAAGGTTGAGAACCACTGACTTAGAGGCTCCCTGGGCGTTGGGTAATTTTCCCTTCTTTACTCCAGGCTTCCGGCCATGGTCATCCATCCTTCCCTCACCAGGTACTTAGAGTAATCAAGGATTGCTGGCTCTTCCCTGGTGCCGGAGTCAGATATGATTCAGCTCCTTAGAATTGTCACACTCTGCAGAGGACTCCTCCTCGTTCCCTAGCCTGGCTCTGCCCTCTATGAGGACTGCAGTGTCCAGCCATGTGACAGACTCGAGCTACTGTTCCAGAATCCAGCCCTGTGGCAGAGACACACTTAGAAAGGCAAGCTCCATGCACACACCTATCCACTGCCCTCTGGGTGTGCCACCCTGAGTCCCAGAGGGAATGGTCCATGTGTTCCTTACAACTGCAAATTAATCCACTTCCATTTTGTCTTAGGACACTGTATGCCCATAGCTGTCAGCATAGTGTAAATACAGGAGAGCAATTCACCGGAGCTCTGTGGAAACGCATGACCAGCTTTTCAGCCGGCTTATTGCAGTGTTAGACGGCAGCCTCAGGCAAGCCTGAAAATTGGCCCCTGTAAACTTAAAGCTCAAAATTCCCAAAGCTGGAGAAGGGACAGAGGAAAGGAAATTACTGGTGGCTTAATCGGTCACAAACTAAAGAAAGGAAGTGTGCTTTGAGGGTTTTTTCCCCTAATGTGAGTAGCTAAGTGGTAACTAATAAACTAAAGTGACACAGAATGCTATGTTCTGCCCCTGGGACTTTTTCCAGCAAAGAATGTCACACCTGGAAACTTAATTTAATTGTGTGAGAAGGCAAAGCAGGAGGGGAAAGAACCCCAGGCACAGAAGCTTCCTCTTTTTCTGCGAGCCCTGATGGCTACCGGAGTGCAGGCCTGGAGTACTTACGCTGATGGAGAGCACGGGACCGATTTTGTACATACAGTATCAGTCCTTCCCGGCACATATGTCCTTTATGTCCTCCCCGCTGTCCTGCAACCTGAGCTCCTTATGCATAAACAGTGCAAATGCTTTCATCCTGTTGGGGCTCCCACCAACGCAGACAAACTGTTGATAAAAAGTAGCAACCACCTGCCTTAATGACTGGGGTCAGAACTGAGGGGCAGCTCTCAACATTAATGATTTTACTTTATTTTTTAGTAACTTATCTAAGAGTATGTGTAGATGTTATGGGTTATGTTCATGAGTTAACTAATTTGCATCATTGACCTGTCAATAAGACACACAAGTTTGTGGTGCTTAATTAGTAAAGAAAAAGATCATCACGAAATCAAAGCAAGTGTTGCTTTTGTTCAAGTCGGTGTTTCCTGGTGTTTTAATTCCTAGGGAACATGAGCGAGCTCCTCAGGCGACATCAGCAGCCTCCTGTTGGGCATTAGCAGGCTAAATGCTCGGTAAGTAAATACTGAGCATGGGGGATGCAAGTAACATAGCAAAAGGGGAACTATGAGGTGTAGACATGTTTCTTCATCCCAAATCCCCAGTCAGAAGTTTTTATTGTAAAATGTGCTATGTTCACGTAAAGCTTTACAAAAACAATCACATCAAAAATTTCTTCTCACTCAGAAGAAATTCTCCTGAAACAGGCCTTATTGTGGACTGGAAATCTCACTACAGTATTTCATCAGCTCCAATAATTTGGTTTTGCTGTATTCACAATTTAACATCTCTGGAATTTCAACAGGCATGGCAGTCAAGAGTATCACATCTAATAAAATGGTTATAAAATTGTCTTGGAGGCGCTTGTGTAATAGCCTATAAGGGATCCATGAGGGATGGGAGCAGTGGATGTGGGAGAGGATCAGAATGGCCTCCCAGCAAAATGGATGAGCTGCCAGCCTGGTGGGTACCAGGATGAGCAGCAGCAGGTGTCAGAGGTCCGAGGTAGCACAGCCATCAGGGCATCTCAGCTAAGCGGGGAGGTGCAGAGCCTGCAGAAGCTCAGTGACAGATAAGCCAGCACGGTGGTGAAGGGCCTGCCCTTGGAGATAAATCTGGCTTTGCACCCAAACCATCACTGACTAAGCAACTTGCTGAGTGTCACCCATGCCTCTCTATGTGCCTCCGATTGTCATCTCCAACGTAGAAAACACAGTACCCTTTGGATGGTTTTGTAAGGAGAAAATAGGATCGACTATGGCAGAGGACATTGTACAAAGCCAGGTGCCTTCTGAGCATTCGACAAATGGTAAGTACTACTTGTCATATCGTGTAGCAGTTTCCTGCCCTGCTCTTGAGCTGGCTTATTGTTTCTGTATTGCAGAACTTAGTACAAAAGAAGCTGGTTCAAGTCCAGTGAGACAAGGGCAGTTGGTGGTGCCTGGCCAAGGTGGGCAGCACTAGGCAGAGGATCAGAAGGATTACTGGTGAGGTCACGCACAGGGAGAAAGAATATCTGTCTAAGGAAATACTGAACTGAGGTTGTAGAGTAGGCACCCCCATTCACAAATGATTTACTATGACTGTTGGGTGGTCTGGTTACATGATGTGTTCTGTTTCCATTTAGCAATATTCCAATTTCAACTACGGGATGTAATTATCCTTTTATCCGCCCTCTGCTTCTCTTCTATCCTCATTTTGTCTTTTCTGTGGCTTCTGATGAGTTTCCCTGATGGGGCTTAAAGTTGGTAATGAACTGCAGTGGGAGTGAGCCATACAGGCTGGGTAGCAAAGAGAGTAAGACCATGGTCTAAAGTGAGTTTCTAAGTTACTATTGATTACTTATAAAAATTTCTCCCTCTGTTGGTATGGACAATTAAGACTTAGCTCAAGTTCTAAGTACAAAGATGGTGGGGTTTTTTGTTTTGTTTTGTTTTTTTCAAAATACAGTAGTTTGAAAATAACCTCATTGTGTAGTGCCAGTGAATGTAAATTACAACTGTTCAGATTGACCATAAAACCAAAAACAGATGTTAGAATAGCTTACAGTTTGAATTCTTCTTTGAACTCTAGATATTGCTGTAATCAACAGGAATTTCTGAATGCTTCTAGTGACATAAAGATGATAGGTATAGACAGAGCATTTTCATTCTTGAAGCCTTACCCTTAAATCAGACTTACTAAATATCACCCCCAGCCACAATTTTAAGTCTGGCTGCCTTAATGAGAAGTAAAATACAGCTGAGGACCACCAACCAGCACTGACCTTAAGAGACGCTTACTGTGATTTATGTCCAAACGAAATTATTATTTGTCCTGGTTTCAACAAAGAAGATAAAAGTGCATTGGGAAGAAGTCTGAAGCATTACAAAAATGTGTTAAGTGCTTTTCTATAGGCTGCCAGTATTAACTCACTTTCAAATATGCCTGCTATCTCAAAAGACTTACCTTTGCCATGTTGTTATTAACCTGGTCCTATTGCAGCTTGGGTATGATGTATGTTTACAAAAGAGTATAAACACTTCTAAAATGTGTATTATAGAGTGTTATAGGGTAATTCTTTTTCATGTTGCTTGAAATTTCTAGGGAGAGATTAGAGGTGATGATGGTAATTTTATAAAAGACATATTAGAGGTTGAGTTTGAGTAGATAAGGTCTAATGCTCCTCCACTATATTTTTAAATTTTGATGCATTCCAGTCAGTATGACAAAGTCACCAAAGCTGCTTCTCCTTCTTGCTGGGAATACAACTAAACTCTACTTCCCAGCCTCCTCTCCAATTAGAGAAGGCCATCTTCCTCAGTTCAGCCACTAGGATGTGAGCAAAAGTGATGGGTGCCACTTCCAGTCCTAGCCCACAGAAATCTCCCATTGGTGATCCCACAGATTGTCTTCTCCCGTCTGCCGGATGGGTGTTGACACTCAGAGAAAATTTGCAAGTCACTGCGCAAAGGTGACAGAGCATCAAGATGGAAGGAGCCTGGGTCCCTGAGTCATCAGTTGGAGGAAAGCCACATATCAACTGGGAACACCCATTTTTTTGTACTTGATATAAATAAGAAATAAACTTACATTGTGCAAAGCCACTGATATTTTGCAGTACCAGCTAGTGAAAACTTAAAGAATATAGTAAGAAAATAGGATTAATTGTCAAAATCTTTAAGGTTGAAGTTTTATACACCCACAGTTCTCCTTTCCTTGGAAGATAATGCTATTAATAATCTGGATTAACTGTTAACTGGTTAATAATGCAGATTAATTATTAACTGGTTAATAATACGGATTAACTGTTAACTGGCGAATAATGCAGATTAATTATTAACTGGTTAATAATCTGCATTAACCGGTTAACAATTAATCTGCATTATTAACTGGTTAACTGTTCATTGGTATTATTAACTGGTTAATAGTTAATCTGCATTAATAATGTGGATTTTGAAATCAAAGAAAACACAATAATTTCAAGAGAAACATCCAAAGTGCTTTATTCAAAGTAATGTCCATCGCTAGCTACCCATTTCCCCCATCTTTAGGTAATTTGTGGATGCCGTCCCAATAGAACTTTTCTTGTTTTGAGGCAGACCAGAGACCCAATTTTCTACTTCTTCGTACGTTTTGAAGTGCTGCTCAGAAAGTGCGTGTGCCATCAATTGGAACAAGTGGTAATCTGAAGGAGCAAGGTCTGGTGAATACAGCGGGTGGGTTAATACTTCCCAGGTAAGATCTTTTAACGTGTCTTTAAGTAGTTTTCAAGTGTGTGATGGTCCGTCATCATGAAGCAAAATTACTTTGGGGTGTCTTCTGGCCCATTCTGGTCGTTTCACGATCAAAGTGTGGTTCAAATGGATTATATGTTGTCGGTAGTGATCAGTATTAATAGTTTCACCTGGTTTTAAAAGCTCATAATACACCACACCTTCCTGATCCCACCAAATGCAGAACATTGTCTTCTTTCCGAAGCGATTTGTTGATGGTTGACCTGGATCAACCCATGATTCTGTGCATCTGGGATTATCAAAATAAATCCACTTTTCATCGCCAGTCACAATTCGATGCAAAAAAGACTTCCTTTCATGCCATTGAAGCAACATTTTACTGATGACTTTTCGGTTTTCCATTTGTCTTTCGTTCAGTTGGTGTGGCACCCATTTTCCTTCCTTTAAAATCTTTCCCATTGCTTGTGAACGATCAGAAATTGTTTGCTCAGCACCGTTTAATCTTTCTGCAAATTGTTTTTGTGTTTGACACGCATCTTCATCCAATAATGCTTATAATTGTTGGTGTTCAAACTTTTTCGGTTGACCTGGACGTTCTTTGTCTTTCACATCGAAATAATCGCTTTTAAAGCATTTAAACCAGTGTTCACAAGTATCTTGAGATGGAGCATATTCACCATAAGCTTCCCGAAGTATATGATAACTTTCAGCAGCACTTTTCTTCAAAATAAAGTAATGAATTAAAAAACTTCACGCAGCCAAGACTGGTTTGGCTCAGTGGATAGAGTGTCGGCCTGCGAACTGAAAGGTCCCAGGTTCGGTTCCGGTCAAGGGCATGTGCCTGGGTTGCGGGCACATCCCCAATGGGAGATGTGCAGGAGGCAGCTGATCGATGTTTCTCTCTCATCGATGTTTCTAACTCTCTATCTCTCTCCCTTCCTCTCTGTAAAAAATCAATAAAATATATTAATTAAAAAAAACCACGCAAATGCTCTTTTTTTGGCATGAAATTCGACATTTATAAAAATATTTATGATGTTAACACCTTCAGAAAATTTGATTTATGAAGTTTTTGAAGCTTGTTGTCAATACAATGAAATAGCATACATATCAAATCGCATATATATAATCATACGTGTAACTCCATCTATTGAAAAAATCCTCATTATTAACCAGTACACCTAGTACCCATTTCAACGGTGTTTATAATAGAAAATACTTTTACATAAAGGTCAAAAGTAGACTATATAATGTATGACTTAGTCACTTGACTTCCATAAACAATGTGTCTCCAAGAAAATGACATAATATGGGGAAAATGTTAATGACATAAAGTGAAGTAAAAAATTTAGGATGCAATTATATAATTCCAACTATTTTAAAATCTGTTTATTAAAAAGAATTGGGAGAAAAGAAAATAGGTTGATGTCTATGTTTAGATGGTAGGAGTTTTTTAAGGTGTATTTTTAAAAATTATTGCTTTGTTTTGTTATATTTTCCCAGTTTTAAATAATGGACATTAGCTGATTTTATTACATATATATATGTAAGATAAAGTAAATATTAGAGAAGTACAATTTCCCTAGCAATATTCCATAAACAATTTTTCATAATATTTCTTATGAAATAACAAAAATCTTAATAACACGAAACGGGCCAGATCCGGCCCGCGGGCCGTAGTTTGCCCACGGCTGAGTTAGGCCATGATTTAATAAAATGTGAATAAGTTCAGCTATTAATATAGATGTTAAACAGTGAACTGAATCATAATGAATTCTCAGCACCCAGCAGTATTGTCAATAAAATGGTATTTATCTCTAGGAACTAGAGCAGCCCAATAACCATGCATGTATTAGATTTAGTTTGGGAACCTTGATGTCTTGTTGGAATGGAAATGATTGTTCGAGATATATACATTCCAAATTGCTTCAGAGAATGAACACCAGTTCCTATTGGGACCTCTGACATTTTACCAGCTGAATGAGTAAGGTTTATGATGAGAAAATAAAAGAAAATATATCAGCAGGGGAAACATGATAGTTTTCCCCAAAGTTAGAAATACTTTTACCTTTACATCCTCAAACATTGCTGCTAGGTTGTGTGTTTTTGTTCCCAAATCCAAGCAATAGAGAATGTCTTCATCCATAGAATCCAGGTAAGGATTTTTAACATGAACAAAACTTTTTCTGGGAAAAATAATATAAAAAAAGATGTGAAGAAATTTAGAGAGAAAGCCTATGATAACCGCTAGCCCAAATATTGGACACAAACTTTCATTTAGGATTGAATGATTTGTCATGAAGCAAATATTATTATGCTACTATAATAAAAACAGCAGCACCACTAATAATAATAATAATAATAATGGCTAATATTTTCTGTGCACACAGGCATAGCTTTAAGCATGAAAATTGTACACTGCCATAAAAACTACATATAGTTTTAATAAACATTCTATTAGGTAAGCAATACTAATAAATGCAATTTACAAGTGAAGGAGCCAAGACTTGCAGAAGTTGAGAAACTTGAGCAAGATTTTACAACCAGTAGATTATGGAACCGTCTTTTCTACCCCGTTCTTGTCTGACCCTCATGGTCCTTTTCCTTCTTTGCATGGGAGGCTGTACAACATAGGCTCCTGGGATCTGTAGTCAGATTGCCTGGGTTCCACCACCAGTTCAACCATATATGTACTCATTGTGCAGCCTTGGGTAAGCTATTTTATCTTTGTTCTTTGAAATTTTCCTCATCTGTAAAGTGGGGGTAGTGAAAAAAATAACTGCTTTGCTGGATTGCCCTGAGGCCTATATGAGCGGAGCTGGGCTACTGTTCTTCCTCTCTCTCAGTAAAATAATGCAAGAGGTGAGCTGACTGCTGCTGTAGGAATGACCTTAATTCCATCTAATTCATATTTATAAGGCACATCATCTTCCGTCTTTGGTATTGCAGTAGTGATTACACACAACTGTAATCATTAGCAATAATCATTACCCCACACCACAGCGGGTCAAGCCCTCTCTGCCAAGAACTATCTGACTTCTTCGCTCTATGTTCCTTCCATTTCCCAGTAAATGCCTCTACACATTTTAACAAAACTCTTGTGTTTTTCTATATTTCCAATGACGTTTGCTCATTAAAAAATAGTTTAAAAACACTGGTGCCCAGGACCCACTGAATTTAGAGACTGAAAAATATTTTTGAAATCTTCTCAGGTGATCTGATGTGCAACCCAAGTTGAAAATCCCTTTTTAGGCCTTTGTTCCTGAAGCATCTTTCTTCCTTCCCTCCATTGTTCACATGTGGGAATCCTACTCATTCCTCAAGGTCAAATTTAAATATCACCTCCCCCTGGAAGGCTTTTTCCAAGCATCTTCCCTCCCCAGTCAGTATGAATTCCCACCCCACACGGTGCTCCTAAAGCATGTATTTCACATTAAGGCTGATAGATAGCACTTCAAGGGTTAATTTTCTGTCTCTCCAGAAAAATTGTGAATTTTCTCATGCAAGCTGTCTCATATATCTTTTTTTAATCCCCAGTCTTAACAAATTTTATTTGTTAAATTAAATTTAAAGTTCGGGAAGTGGAACTATTAATTTTCCGCTCAAAAACATTTAGGGTAACAAATTCTTAATTAGTTAGTGGATCATGGCTGGTTTAAAAAAATAAAGCATTCCATGAGGTTAGTACACTTTACTACTTCAGAACAAGCCTCAAAGCCCCCAAGCAAAAGGACCCTCCTTTCCTCTCCTGGTGAAAGGCAGGAGGACATGCACCAGTGATCCCTTGTTGGAAAAAGTGTGTCGATTCACCAGCAGCATTGCCATGGAGGCTTGTTAGAAATGCAAAATCTCAGGCCCCACGCAGGATCTCCTGAATCAAAATCTGTCTGATAAGCAACTCCTATGTGATTTCTGTGCACATTAAAGTTTGAGAAATATGCCATCCACTTTCTCTTCCAACTTCTCTTACTTTTCTGCTTGACTCTGCCAAACTGCTTTCCCTCTCTGATGCTTCTCCTTTGGATTCCTAGCTGACTCTATCCTTACCCTAGAAGAGAGTGCCATTCATCTACTTCAGTGATTTCAAATTCTAACTCCATATCAGGATCACGTGGGGTGCTTTAAAAAGCACTGGTACCTAACTAAGTCCAAACCTAGAAATTCTAATTTATATTGTCAAGAAGATATGGGCCTTGGTATTTTTAAAATCACTGATGTATTCCAGCTTTCCTATCTTCAAAAAGAAATTCTCAAACCATTAACTATATTCTCTTTTATCAATTATAATAGTCCTGCTAATTCATTAGGACTATTCATTATAATAATCCTGTTCATTATTTAGTTTTCCTTGGTGGCCTGTTTCAATAGCTAATGATCCCTTGGTCAGAGAATTGGGTGGGGGGCATGTCTATAGAAGGTTTGTATCCCTTTGGGCTCACCAAAAGCACTTCTAAGATGATCCCTCTATTACTTACCAAAGGAAAGATTACTTTGGCCATTATGCCAAATTCAACCCAGTATGATTCTGGCAATTGCAATATTTCAATCTTTCCAAAATATATAATTTTTACTAAATAGACTATATGTGCTATTTCTTCCTCAACCTTGTTTTGCATTTTCTTTCCTTTCTCTAAAATGTGGGCCAAAGGTGGTATTGGGAATACATTCTTTTAGCAAGCCATGAGATAGCATGGTCAGTATTAAACACTGGTAACCAGAGAAAAGTGCTGGCTGAGAGAAGTCTTTCTATTTTACCATCACCTTCATCTTCAGACTTTTTCCTTTTCTCTTTCCTTGGCATGCCTGAGCAAATGCACGTGGTAGGAGACTACCTTTGTCTGGGATGGGTAAATGGAACATTTTCTGAAACAATGACATGACGGAGGCTCTAAGCAAGGCATCTGATACAACTCGGCGAATCGGAGGGAATGCACAAAAATTCCTTAAGCCTCCTGAAGATTAATGCTCGATTATGTTCTGTGAACCTGGGGCAAGAATTGGAGCTAAATTTTTAGACAGTTTTGGCAGATTTATGTCTACCCCTGAGATGAAGAACATACATGGAATTTTAGGAGTGAATTCCATGTAAAGTCTATCATAAAGCGTATGGAATCACTTCATAATATGCTGCAGCACAGTTAAACCTCCCTTAGGCACAGGGAGGCCCCTTTAATCATTTCTCAGATATTTCAGCCCATGGTCCTGGAATTAAAGGCTGAACTCCAGGCTGAACTTTGAATGTGTTCACTCATGCAGATTGGTTAATCTTTTGCATGTTTTTTGGCTTTACTTTCTTTTCTTTTCCTTTTTTTTAAAGAGTGAGAGGTATAATTGACATATTGCTCCACTTTCTTAGATGAGCCAGATTCACCCAAGAACCAAGGAATGAAAATATCTTTGGGAAGACATTTTGCATTGTATTTATTTTGTTTTGTATTATGAGCTAGGTTCCAACTATATCATCTCTAAACTTAAGACATTTATGTAATGATAGAGGTTGATCTTCTGAATATTTAATATAAAATCCAAAGAACATCCACCTAATCAAAACAAATAAAACATCAAAATTACTTACCCAACATGTGTATTCTGGTCAGATCTCATGGGTTTATTGGAAGCAGGTAAAATCGAAGCCATACTTTGTAGTGTGTGGATAGTCACTCTTCAGTTGATGTCAGGGAAGAAATATATAGTCAGTTGCTATTAAATTATAGGTGAATCATAATAGCTCAGCTCCAAGTAAGAATGACAGCCTCCCTTATAAAACTTACATTTTCTTCTGAAATCAATAATGGAACTTTATTCCTAGCATAACTCCCTACCAATTCAAAAAATATCCTCCTTGACATGGCCTTTTATACTACAAAACAGCCCAGCTCTCACAACAGCTCTTCCCTAAGAAGATAGGCTCCCTTTGAAGGTGTGGCGTCCTAGCTCTCTGACTAGGTTGGTTAGCTGGTCACTGTAGACAGGTGTGCCTTTCCCTTCCTCTGGCCTTGATCCCAGCATGGGTCTGGTGTGGCACACGACTTACTTACTTACTTACTTACTTACTTACTTACTTACTTACTTTGGGACAACTGTATGTGGATCCACGTCCTCCACTGGTTTCAGGAACTCCGCCATGTTGTCTCAAAAACGTGCCCAGTACACGGGAGAACTTTCAGTTCCCAAACATTTTGTTTTCTCACCCCATCCTACCCCTCATCAACTTGTTTTCATTCTATGTTCACAAGTGAGACAAACATGCAAAGTCATGACCCCAGAGTGCCTCTTCATCTGAACTCTGCCCATTCAAATTCACACAGAAGGTCTGATAATTAAACAAAATCTGTTTCCCAGGGCTTCATTAAGCTAAAAACCACAGGCTGCCCGTGAAATCCGATGGAGCAGCTGTTGGAGGTCAATCCAAATAAAATAACAAAATAAGGTCTAATATTTTCAGAAAACAGAGTGTCTCTTTGAAGAAATCCACAAATTCACTGCTTTTCTCCTGCTTCTTACTGTACAATTTGGGGATGGACAAATCTAGAAGACTTTCAAGGGACTTCATCCTGTGTGTTTTTTTTCTTTTTATTCCCAGCTCCCATGGCAATCAGCTGAAGTTCTATGCTGGTGAGAGCTTTAAGGACATTTGTCTCATGGCTTGCAAGCAAACCAGCGCTTAAAATGTTCACAAACACCCAAACAGCAGCAGATACAAGGCATTTCATAATGTGCTTGAATTTCTCTGTAAGAGTGTGCATCACAGTCAAGAAGCAAATGCACATCTTAACTGTGTTTAGAGATACTCCTCTTCCTGGTGATAGCCACTTTGGACAAACTCCTTGAATTCCATGCTGGCCTCCTTCAGTCCATCTTGGCCTACTAACGAAGTTTACAAGAAGGAAAGAGAATAGGAAACTAATAGAGCACTCCAAATCTTGCTACTGCTACTACCAATTAGACATTTGTATCTTTACTTAAAGTTATCCAAAAATACCCAAGAAAACTAATCGTGGAAAAGGCAATGACAACTTGGAGGCAAAATAAGCCTGAACCTGTGTGTTGCTTGTATAACTTGGGAGAGTAGGTACTGTTTCCAGTTTATGATAATAATACATCTTTTACCTCATGGCCCACCTCAAAGGGGTCTACCTGCTGCCCTTTCTCCACAACCACTGGCAATTTTGAGATTCAACATGCCCACCACCTACCACGGGGGCTTCTTACACTTTTTAATCCTCACCTGAAGATATATTTATTGATATGAGGGAGAGAGAAACATTGATGTGAGAGAGAAGCATCAATCGGTTGCTCCCAAACACTCTGACCAGGAATTGAACCTGCAACCTTTTGGTGCGTAGGACAATGCTCCGTTCAACTGAGCAACACTGGCTAGGGTGGGAGGCTTCACACTTCTTTTGGTATCCCATGCTGTACCTCAAAAAATTTTTTAGGGTATAATGACCAAATTCCAGTCTGGCATTTACCTCTGGCTCTGACAGGTGAAAGTGTTAGCTAATTAGGTAAGTGTTAAATCATTAATTACTCCAGGGAATTATTTAGACTAATTAACATGTCTATTTCCAGTGCAAATTCTGTCAGTCACCAACAGTGCCAGGGACACCAGCAACGTTTTATGGATTCCATATAACGACTCCTGAGGATATTAAGGCAAGTGTCATCATTTGGGTGAAATGAAGAATAGTCTTGCAGAATCTATGCAAGTAGAGTACTCATGAATGTCCTCTGGGTAATCTGAAATTATTTTCCCTAGTTTTCAATCCTTTCATGACTCCATCCTACTCTTAAGGTAGGTTGTTGCTCAACAATTTTTTTGTGTGGACTGTATTGCAAAAGTTCAGTCACCTGAATGATAATGGAGAGAGCATGTAGCACAGAAATGCACAAGGGAATCTCACGCCCAGCCCTGGGAGACATGGGCTTCTGGAAGGAAGGGATGCCTGGGCTGCGTCTTGAGGAAAATGTAATCCTGAAAAATATTGCTGAGGGTAGAGGTGGGTGAATATGAGAGGCCTGTGCTCCTGGCCCAGGGAACTGTGTGTAAAATGCATAGAGGTGACAGAAAAGTGTCACATTTAGAGAACTATTATTAGCTCTATTTGGTTTTACTTCCACATATTGGCACCAGAACATCTCAGTCAGGGCCGTAGTGGCCTTCCGTTTTTGAGATTTCTGCTACATTAGACAATAAAGAAAGGCCAACACAAGGTTACACTAGTTACAATACACACTGAGTCCTAGTAGTCTGTTTTGAGGTAAATGGAGACTCCACATAGGAGATGTCCTACTTACCACACAATGAGTATAAGCACCTGCTATGAACTAAGTTTGTTCGTGTTCAAAGTGGCATAATAATATAGGAGAATGGTCCTTGTTCTCAGGGTCATATTTCTGGCAGCTTTCAAATGAAAAGGATTTAACTTACAACTGGCCTGGCTGCTCTGGTGGCCTTTCTTACTGGGATTACAATCCCCACAGTGTGGCAAAGCTGGCATTCCCTGTTCCCCAGTGGCTGGCCGTAACCAACGCCGGTGCCTCAGTGAGTCAACAGGCCCCTCAGAGAAGTTGGCGGAGGGCATCTCTGCCTCGGGCGGTTTGGTCCCTTAAGACTGAAAACACTTGGCTTCTGAAGATGTTCGACTTCAATTTTAAGATGTTTCTGTTCTTGATGATGTCGGAGAAAAGGAAATGGAAGGCACGGGAGATCAAACAGAAATTCAAGAAAAGCCCTTTTTTTAAGTGAAGCAAGATATTTGGAATCAATAGCACTAAGAAATAAAATTTAAAAGCTCTTCTCTAAGTTCACAATAATAGTCATTTTGAACTTGGAATAGAAATCTGAAGGACAAGAAAGAATGCCAGTGACAACAGTGATCAACTCGGCATTGCACGGGGCCAGACTCTGGACGATCTCGTTCGCAACAGCCCTGTGAGGTAGTTTTTGTTATTTTCTCCATTTCCAGCAGTGGACATTAGAAACCAGAGAGGTGAAATGAGGCGACTGAGATCCTACAAGGAGTTAGCCCAAACCAGAATTCAGACCTAATTCTGTCCAGCTACAAAGCCATGGGAACTTTTTCTATTCTACCACTGTCTCTCTTTTAATTTTATTTTTAAAAATTTTCATTGATTTTTAGAGAGAGGGAGAGAGAAAGGGGGGCTGATGAGAGAGAGAGAGAAACATCGATTTGTTGTTCCACTGATTTATGCATTCATTGGTTGATTCTTGTATGTGCCCTGACCCGGGATCAAATCTGCATCCCTGGCATATTAGGATGATGCTCTAACCATCAGAGCTCCCAGGCCAGGGCTCACCACTCTTTTTCAATGTTGGGATTCTTTAAAGAAGACAATAGTCCAAGGAGAATGGCATCAACAAGAGAAGGAAATTCGATCTGGGTCTTAAAGGTGAAGTCGGACTGGGACGTGAGGAGTGTAACACCTCACCCTGCAGGTCCGAAGGGTTGTTGACTTCATTCATTTCTGGAAAAGGGGTGCATAACTCAGCCATAGTGGGGGTGTTATTTGGATGTTCCTGAAGAAAATAGCCCCTATGTTGATTATAAAATCATCTCGTTGCCAAAATTTAAATGAATCTTTAAACTGTTCTGTCAACATACTTAAATGTACAGTATAGCTCATCTCAAGCTTACCACTTCCCTGTGATTTTACCCAAAAAGCTGGATCCGATTCAACACCCTGCCTGCAGCAAGTGCTGTCTGCTCCTGAGCGGCCCCTGCAAAGGGGATTAAAGGCACTGGCCTGCGAGTCTGCTAACTGCCCGTGGGTCGCCCATCCCAGTAACGTCCTGCCCTGGAGACCCTGTAACGTCCTGCCCTGGAGATTAAAACCTGTGTTTGTCTTTTTAGCACCAGATGAAGGAACCCCAACCGGAACGTGAAATACCCTGGGAAATCAGTTGGAAAGAAGCACCGAGGGTTTGACAAACCTCACCCTGAAATGAGAGGAAGGCCTGTTTTCCTTGGAACTAAGGAAGGTTCATTCCTAACCTCTAACAACAACAAAAAAAATGAGGTTATTACTGCTGCTGCCCGAGAGGGTTCAGATGGGAAAATAATGCTAATCCATCGTGGAGGTGGTGAGTTCCAAGCCCAGAAAGTCACGAAATTTCAAAGCTGACTGATTCTAATTTGGGTTTGGCTGAGTGACAGATAACAGTATGCTTTATGATACTCTCCTAACATTACTCGCTGCAATACTTGGAGTTAAACATTAATTTTTTTCTAAAGAAGTAGAAAACCTTGAGTACATAACCACGGTCACATCCACATTTCTGTTAATGCCTCACCTCAGGAATGTCATGGCTCTTCCGAAGTGTGACTCCTTTGAACACTTCACCTTGGATTCGCATTTCATTTTCGGTTGTGATCAAGGTTGGTATTTCTGAGAGTATTTTATGTTAGTATTCGGTAAATTTTAACTGTCAAAGAGTTCAAACATATAGAAATGTGAAGCTGTAACAGATGCCTGTGCAGTTGCCACACAAATTTAACAGTTGCTAACTTTTTGCCATATTTAACACAGACTTTTAAAAAAAATCCATTAAAGCCCTACCCACCTTCTTTTTAAAAAAATTTTAAATATATTTTTTATTAATTTTAGAGAGGATGGGAGAAGGAGAGA